ACTGGCAGCGACCTAGAAGAAACCAATCGAGCTCCATCCTAATCCACAGCCGCAATACAGAAGACTGGGTGAACAAAACAAGTCAGAACAACCCAAGAAGCCCACGAACCAGAACACAAACAACAAAGTGGGGCACTTGTTTGCTGCCATTGAATAATCAGAACAAACTTAGAAGATTATTATCTCCAGACAAGAGAATATACAGCAATTCAGATCTGCTGCGGCAGAATCTAATGGTGAGAAAATAGAGGGATCCCACATCACCCCAAAACTAGAGAAAAAAGATCTTTCCTTTTTAATCTCCCCCACGGACAGAGAGAGAGAGAGAAGCAAAACAACAACAACAGCAAATGACTTGTTCAAAGAACAATGACTTCAAATTTGTCAACTTGTGGTCTGCCCCTCTCCATTTATTCTATATACCTTGCTTCTCACCTATGGCTTTTGCTCCAATGATTTTCTTCCCCATTTAATTATTACTTTTTCCTTTCTGGGTTTTTGAGGATGTGAAAGATATGGCTATTTTTTTAACCTTTTTCTTTTTCACATTTTCTAGATTCTCTCCACCTTCCATGCTTTTTGGGTACAAAAATATTTATATTCGGAAAGTACTTAAAAAGATGGAGACACCTGGGTTCACTGAAGCAACAACCTAACAGTTTCCCAAAGTGTTACTTCAGTTTATCTTCCTCGGAGTGTCACAATCACGCGCGGTTTCATGTCCCGCCACGTAAGTACGTCATGACGTTCGAGGTCTGAGTTGGTCGGGGGTTTTGACTACGTGCGTTGAAAGGCGCGTAGATCATGTTTTTCGTTGTTTAAGACTTCCAAAATGTGAGAAAGAAAATTGAAAAGTACGCTGTTTTTATATTAAATATTTCGCACTTATATGCCAAGAAAGAAATTTAGATTGGTTTTTGGATGATTGCTTTTGTTTGTTTTTGTCCAAATCTGATTGGCGTTTTTCTTTATTCTTATATTATTGGGGTTTTATTATGGGTCAACTCAAAAGACTCAAAGACTCAAAAAGTTGAACAATATTCTAGGGGGATGAATTTCAATGTTATTTCCTTACATTTTATTCTTTTATTTCTTTCTTTCTTTCTTTCTTTCTTTGTGCACAATATTATTACAAAAATGCTAGTTATACTATATTTATATACCACATTGTGTACGGATTCTGAGTCTCTGTATTTAGGTCCTGTGTATTTACCCTCACTTTGTTAAATCTAAGACACTCAAATAATCTAACCATCCAATGCACGACACATCATCAAATTGTAAGTCATTTTTTAATTAACCCAAAAAAACTGTTAACCCTAATGTTATAACGTCGTTTAGGTTTTTTCTTTTATGTGTTTCCTCCCCTTTCTATCGTATGCGTGCTCTTTTTTATGTTCCTCTTATTGCAAGAACTAACAGGCTTTATATTATATAAGGTTTTGTGTAGACCCATGGCGCTGGGGATAAGATTAATCAATGATGATAATGTCAATATGTCAATCTCTTGTAGAGAATTGTAAACTGATTTGTCATGCATGCCACTAGTGTACAAACCGAGATGAAGATATTAAAATTTTAAATACACGCATAAGGACATAATGAAATAAGGAAGAGAGACAATCGACACTAGCCAATTACATAGTAGCGTCTATCCCTAATCTCAAGGATTCGTAGACATTCAATTGCCTCACTGCAATTTGGCCCCCCAAAAAAAAGCTCACTGCAAAGAGGAGAAAAGACTCAATGAGTTTTGAGAAATTAAAAAAAAAAAACTCGCTTAATATTTGATGATGTGTCATGTGTAGGATGGTTAAATTTTTTGAGTGGCTTAAATTTAACAAAATGTGGGTAAATGCACAAGACATAAATGCAGAGGCTCGGGATCCATTGTGTACCACCTCTCTAATAAAGGTGAGCCTCATTGTATTGGTGGGTTCCACTTCTATTAGAGAGGTGGTATACAAGGTTTTGATTTGTGTTCTCCACAGCTACCGCAACTTGGATAATGACATACTCAGTGGCATTTATAGTGTGGTTTACAAAATATAGTATCATCATTGCATCTCTTTGCCTTGTGACTTCATTAGCCTTAGTGGATGTTGTCACCTTAACAAACCACGCAGTTGATGTATTCTGATCCCTAGTAGAGGAGGGCAGGTTGATGAGAAGAGTTTGGATTGCAGAGGATGTTATGCGAGAATGTTTGATATTGCACTAGATATCTCGCAAAATTGTAGGTATGTTTAAAGCACATCAAATTTAGCCACCCCTCATCCTCTGAAATTGCATAAAAAAGTTCCACAACCAGGCTTACGACAATCTTGAGACAAGCCTTAGGATGATCCGGAGGTAAGTATGGGATGATCCTCGTGTTCTCCACGGTTACTATAGCCTGGATGACCATGTACTCATTGGCGTTTACAAATTGAATTCAAGTAGGATACCAAATGGACCCTTAAAATTATATGTTGTTGTTGTTGTTTCTCTTAACTGGGAGGAGGATGGACAGATTACTAGAGTATGTTGTTATCGATCTAATTATAGACCATGTACCAATTTGGGTTGGTGACTTGAATTTTTTATTTTTTATTTTTGCTCTAGTTCATCCATAAAGATATCATGTTCTTACAAAACTTTTGCCTAGTTTTCTTGAACTTCTTATGTTTCTTACCTTGGGTATGGAACTAGGAATTTTTGAATGGCTAGGTTATAAAATATCTAGTTATATTTTTTAACTTACAATTTTCATATTTTTTTAGAAATAAAAGTATACATTAAATCATAAACCGTACTAGTTCATAGCCCTATGAACTAATTTCCAATACATTTAGCATAAAACAAATGCAGATTAAATGCAAAAAAAGGTTAACGCAAGAAAATGAGGAAACCACCAAAAAGACCACAAAACAGACTTTGGAAAAATAATATTTCCCTATTAACGTGTTGTAGATTTTTTTCTTTTTTTCTTTTTTTCCCCCTTAAAAGATGTCATCATAGAAATAGTGGGAAACTGCCAAAAAGGCCACAAAACAAGAGCCCCAACCACAAGTGGGAACGGCAAGTTGATGAGCTATATAGGTTTAATTTTGTTTTTATTCAAAAACAACAAGGCCTATAATTGGTTTAAAAAAATATTCTTCAAAAAGCTACCTAGCCCAATGTAGCCTTGTAGATAGTTCCGCCCCTTAGATAGCAATGTATGGTCTCCTTTCAACCCATTTCTTGAAAACTGATTTCAGGATGAGCATGGCAGCATATCGACATATGAAGACTGTCCTCCCAGGAAGAGTTTTTGAGTCTTTTAGGACTAGTCCACCAGTGATCATATCAATTTCTAATTGACTCTCTTGGTGAAGTGGTATGCTTAGTCCTATATATATAAGGCTTAGTCCTATATTATATAACAACCTCTTTGGACATTAGCATTTAGTGATACGCTAAACAAAGTGTACATGAGAGCATAGTGGTTTCAACAAGTGTATTTACTAATAGGGCATGAATCACGTGTCAAAGGTTGTTTGTGGTGCCGGGAAAGAACTTCAAGCTTATTGTCCTAAATCATCTCCACCAGGTGCGTTATTTTTAGGTCGTGCAGTTGATGCAAGGCTGTACAAGTGTCCCATATCCTGAAGAAGAGAATCAAATTTAAAGATCAGTAATGCAAAAATCAAGATAATTAAGGCTATACTTAAATAGTAATAACCATCAGATGACAAAGTGCATGCGTATTAAGCATTTTCTTGATGAAATCAATTTTTATCCTTCCATTAGACAAAAACATCATGGGCCTAGAATGGACAATGTGCATACACAGGCTTCCTTAAAAGATAATACAAATGTCAAAGACTAGAATGACAACCTAACCAATCATTCAACCCTAGTTAGCATTTTCTATCATATACGTACGTATGTATTTTTTAAAAGACTCGATTAATATTTTTGTATACATCTAAAAGACTCGGTAAAATACACGTTTTTATTTTAAAATCAAACGTATAATGCACATATTATATATACGTATGTATTTTTCAAAAAAATAACTTATGTTTTTCATATACATCTAAAAGACTCAGTAAAATATACATTTTTTAAAAACAAAGAGATTCTTAAGTTAAGTCTAAAAGGTTAGGAAAACCAAGAATAACATTCCCCACAAGAACTTACCAAAGAAAAATCTATGGTTTTAAGTGTAACAAACCAAACAAATACATTCCGGTCAGCTATAAGTGGTGCCGCAGTCTTCTACAGTCTAAAACAAGTAAACGATAAAAGCTTTTCACCAAATTCTTTGGTGGAGATGAAGGGTTGCGGGGGATCTGTATTGCCTTTTATATCACATTAGATATCTTACAGTTTCTGTCATTAGAATATTAATAAGAACACGAATTGTACTCGATAGTCCATATACATGGGGAAAATGAAAAACCACGACAGATGGATCTAATTGTATTTGCCTTACAAATTTTACATATTCTTCTAATATAAAAGCCACAACAGATGGATCTCACCGAACCTTCCTACGGCCCATAAGACCAAGGACCTTCTCCCATAGCCCAACACTTCCCACACTCCTCAAATCAATTACACTTGGGCTACAAGCTGCTACAGTCCAATACCCAGCTCTTATTTCATCCTTCAATTGCTCTTTCTCCCATCCACAATACCCATCAAAGAACCTAAACTCCCCAAGCCCAACCATATTCCTTTTCACCATTTTAGCTGCACAACCCACACTTTCCTTTGTCCCATAATACAATCCCTTCATTACCTCATCAAAAACGCCACTCCTCCCAACCACATCATCTCCAACTTTGGGCCTCACCAAGAACAGCCCCTCCTCCAAAGGCCCACCAAAGAATAACGGCCTATTCGAGAATGTGCCCGCAACATCAAGAGCTGTGGATCGTGTCTCCTTAATCGACATAAGGGACGGCCGGTTGAGTATGATGCCGGATGGGCCCAAAGGCCCAGTGGATAAGACCAAAATGACTGTTCGCTCGAAAATATGGACCCCGTCAAGCTTTTCGGTGGCAAGAAGTAGGCAGCCCTTTTCAGGCTCATGGATTGTGTGGGCCCATTTGTCACCAACAGTGATGGGCTGCGGAAGATCAACCACAGTGTCAAGGTCCACAAGTGAGGAAGTGGGCTTTTTGGACTTTGATGATTTTTCTGCAGCTACCAGTTTTGCTCTGAATGATCGCCAATCGGTATCAATGGAAGGTTTGCTGTCATCATTGGACGGTGGAGATGAGTCCATGCGGCAACCTATCATTTGACAGAAAGCAACCCATTAGCAAATGTACGAAGAGCAGACATTGTTCCCTGCTTGAAATAAAAGGAATAGGAAAACTTACATGTTATTGATGATGGAATGCCAACTCTTTTGCAGTGAAATGGAGTTTTGATGGAATTTGAGGTGAGGGAATTTGAGGCAAGGAAACAAGCTTCCATGATGATGGGTTCTTCTAGCTTAGCTTCTTTCTTTTGAGTTTTGATGGCAGATCAAAGCTTCAAAGATGGCAAGGAATGAAAGAGCAGATCACACTGATATATACAGTGAGTAAGAATAAATGTGCACCACATGGTGGTGTTCGATCCAATCCCGTTAGTCCTATCCCATCCCAATCCATGTTGGATGTTACTTTCTAAAGCTTCCAAAGCATGGGCCATTGGATATGACTTTACACATGGCACAAAAGGACGAGGAGCTCCTCCTTCTTTGTGGGTAATGGCTATCTGAGATAAACCAAACTCTTCTGGATGACGTGTCATACTCGTACCCAGTTATTTGTTGAGCACTTTGATCCCCAAACTCTGAAGCAAACTAACTTTGATCTGTGAATTTAATATACAACTTACAAGAACACGGTTAGTTTGGGTTTTCTTTGTTTAAGAAAACAATAGTTTCATTAAGAAATTTAAGGTTGAGTTACGACTTACAACCAAATCAGCCAGCATGATCAGTGCAAGACAGTAAGACAGTAATAACCTTATTATCTCACTGATAAAGAATGAATGACCTCGACAATTGTTAGAAGTCAAATGCATACACTGAAACGCTGAAGCAACAAAATACAATCGATCCCCTTCTATTTATCAACAAGTATACACTTTTATAATGTAAGAACATTGGTGAGAAGTTTCTCTCTAGAATCTCTTCTATTATGAGGCTTGCAGAAGTGTTTCTGGCCAAGTTTGAGTTAGCTGATCCTCACCAAATAATTACCATCTCTGGCGGTTCATCCACGTATCCCATTGCTAATACTCCTTGATGACATATCCGATTGCTTGAAGTCCTGACGTAGTCTCTCGATCATCTGATATATTTCACCGGATTTAGGGTGTAATTTATCAAATACTGTAAATTCATGGACCTCATCACCGACCTCGATGCTACTGGCCCCTGAAGGTTTCTGGACTCCTGTGTTTCTCATTTGCAGCCTCACATTAGCAACATTTGCCCAATCACCAGCTGCAGCGTAGATATTTGACAACATGGAGAAATTTCCTGCATCTGATGGGTCTAACTTAACCAAGTGATCAAGCACCTCCTGTGCCAATTCTGGATCATTATGCATCCGGCATGCCCCCAAAAGGGTGCCCCATATAACAACATTCGGTTCCATTGGCATGCTATGCACAAGCCTAAAAGCTTCCCTGAGACACCCCCCACGACCCAAAAGATCAATCATACAACCGTAATGCTCAATTTCCGGTACAATCCCATACTCTCTCTCCATAGTATGGAAGGCTTGAAGGCCCTCCTCCACAAAGCCGGCATGTGTACAAGCACAAAAGACACCAATGAAGGTAACTTTATCTGGCAAAAACCCAGCTTTTACCATTCTAGAGAAAAGCTGAAGCGCTTTATCACCGTGTCCATGCATGGCTAACCCTTGGAGCATGGCATTCCAAGATACCAAATCTTTCTTTGCTATCCCATGAAAGACTCTAGATGCTTCATCCAACATACCACACTTTGCATACATATCAAGCAACGCATTGGACACAGGAGTACTACAGTTGAATCTAGTCCTCTCAATAGAGGCATGAACTTTCATACCCAATCCAATCAAACCAGACTCTGCACAAGCAGACAAGATACTAATAATTGCCCCATTATCGGGCTTCAATCCAGCTTCCTCCATTTGATCATATAGCATAATCGCCTCCTTTGCAAGCCCTTTTTCAGCATACCCAGAAATAATAATAGTCCAAGGAACCAAGTTCCTGAAGGGCATCTTATCAAACATCATTCTAGCCATACCCATATCCCCGGCTTTGCTATAACCCGAAACCAGAGTCGACCAAGACACAACATTCCTCTGGGGCATTCTTTCAAACAGTTCAAAGGCTTCATTCATTTGCCCCGCCTTCGCATACCCATCCAATATCGTATTCCAGCTAACCGCATCTTTGTCAGGCATTTCATCGAACAAGCGGCGAGCTTCACCCAAGTCCCCCGTTTTTGCCAGCCCACCAATCATAGAATTCCAAGACACAATGTCTCTGTCACCCATCAACATAAACACCTTCTTTGCCTCACTAACACCAAGCAACCCACACTTGGAATAAGTGTCAATGAGCGAGTTGGGCACAAAGATATCCAAACAAAACCCAAATTTCTCGATGCTGGTATGAATCATTTGAACCACAGGAAACCAAGGTCTGCCCGAACACGCTTTCAAGAGAAATGGGTAAGTAAAGTTGTCTGGATAAACCCCATTGAGCTGCATATCAAAGAAAGTTGCGAAGGCCTGTGTGGTCTGAGAGTTCTGAATGTGAGCTCTGATGAGAGTATTGTACAAATGGACATTGGGGTCTTGAACTTGATTGAAAACGTTGACGGCAAGCGCCATTTGGCGACAGAGAGAGAAGGCGGCAATGAGCTTGGGCGCTGTGTGTAGGTCCTGGTGGAGATCGGCTTTGAGAATTTGGGCGTGGACTTGCTTGATGTGGCTTAGGTTTGTGCATCTGTGGAGGTCTGAGAGTTTTTGGTCTAAGAGTCTTCGTCTAGAAACCCATGACGGGGATCGAACTGGTACACACATCTGCATGGCAGAGAAGAGATTTAAGAAAGGTTGGGTTTTTCAGTTTGGAGAAGGCATGGCAGTTATTCTGGTTTGTGGGAAAGGATGAGACAGAGTGACAGGGTGCGTGCGGCTCTCTGCTTGTCTTTAGATTTGAGGAGTTTGCTTAGTGGCTTGACCCAATTTATGTTCTCAGCCCAATAAAAGCTAAAGAAGGATGAGCTTCGGCCCAGTTTCAAGATTCACTCAAATTTGCTTTGATCCAAACAAATTGGTTTTTCACAAATGTCGATTAGGTCAGTTGGCTAGTTGGTCAAGGTCAGTGTGCATGCCATGTTGCACCCGAGTTCAATTCTCCTTTTCATACATTAGAGTAGTTCAGAATATTGTTATTTAAAAAAATATATATAAATAATAATGTTCAAATATTACTTATAGTAGTATAAATTTTGGTTATATAAGGACAGGTGAAAATATGTATAAATATTTTTGTCAATTACTATTCACTATTTCTGATGGATTGAAGTAGAGATCATTAGAAGAAATTTTTTTGGCCCATTAGGTTATGTCCTAGTGCGTTATATTACAAGGACTAATTACTTTCGGACTTCATTCAATATTTTACTTGCCAAATTGCCTTCCATTCATGACCAAAAAATTGGTCAGTTCATTCCCACACATTTCCATCTAGAAAACACTCAAACAATAATCTAAGTCCTAGTAACCTTGCCTAATATTCTACTTAATTGATTGTTTCACTACTAAACTCATAAGTAAAGCAAATGTTGAGTCAATAAAGAATGAACACCCAAGTGAACAGTCAATATTATATGTATAAAGAGTTGTTGAGCTCAGAATGGTCTTACAATAAGAGTTTAGGGATGAAAGTGGAGAGCCCATGAACCTTGTTGTTTTGTTCTTTTTCTTAAACTACCCCATGTGAACTTAGTTCTTGCTATTCTCAAATTGTCACTAGAATATGTTCCGCATTTAAAGTAAAGGAAGAACTGTGCAAGCCATTGGGTTGGTGAGAAACATTATTTGTCTTGTTCTGTCTATCTACGCAACCGCAGGGAATCAGAGACACAAGCTCAGGTGCCCCACATCTTGTGACATCTAACAGAACAATCAAAGGCAAAAGTCTCAAAGCACTAGGCGCAGAGGAGAATCGGTCATCTTTTTGTTGGGCGCATGCGCCTATTGAACCTACCCACCAATTCAACCTCTACACCTAACCCCCTCCCTCATCATATTTCCAACACCTTCATTCTTACTTCTGTCTTGTGATTTTGGCCTGGTTTTCTGAACCATCATCTCTCCCTTTTTTTGTGTTGTTCTTTCTCTCTGTTTTCAATGGAGGCTAAGCTGTTAATGGCCTCCTCTCCCGCCACTCTTTCAGTTCCCCGTGCTTCTAATTCAAGAATCAATCGCATATTGCCATTGAAAGCAATGGAATCTAACAGCTTAACCTGCCTCAATTCAGGCTTACCAAAGAAAGGAACTTTATCTGTTCAGGCTTCTGCAACTTCCATTGGGTACAATTACGGCAACCCTTTTTTCTAAAATTTTTGGTCCTCACAATTTAGTTTGTTGGCCCTTTATGGATCTATGGATTATTCTGTTTTCAAGAGACTTCTCTATATATTCTGCTCTTCAAGTCTTCTGCTTTTGTACTGTTCATCTGTTTCTGGAAATGGCCATGCTTTATTTTGTTGTGCACATAACATGTATGTATGCAATTATGCCGATTGCCCAGTACTCCAATTTATTTAAACTGTATTGACTGCTGATTAAATTTTCTAATAATTTAATATATTCCCAAATGAAATGCATAACATGATTTCTTCAAATGTATGATTGTATGCAAGTCTAGGATTCAATAATAATTCACAGATACTATGAAGTCAGAGCGGTT